CTGTTTGGGTTACCACCGTTGTGTAGTAGGTATTAAGATCATAGAGTGCTAAGCCTACAACCTCATTTTTGTTTCTCAGAAGTGTTTTGCTTATTTGGGGTCTCTTGTCTCTCCAAATAAATGTGATAATTTCCCTTTTAATCTCCTTGAAAAATGAATTTGGTATCTGGATTGGGATTGCATTAAACATGTTCTGGAAGGCAGTTTGGCGCTTTCTCAAAAAGCTGAACATAGAAATTCCATATGACCCAGCTATTCCACTACTTGGAATATGCCCTGAGAAAATAAGAACTGAGGTACAAACTGAAATGTGTACACCAATGTTCACAGCAGCATTATTCACTATTGCAAAAACATGGAAAAAGCCCAAATATCCAACCACAAAAAAAATGGATTGAGAAATTATGGTACAGTCACACAATGGAATAGTATGCAGCACACAGGAGCAATAACTTTGTAAATTATTACCTAACTTGGGAGGGACTGGAGAGCATTATGCTGCGTGAACTAACTTAGTCATGTAAGGATAAATATTGTATAAGACAATTATTGTAGAATGAGTATAAGGATCCAGGAGGGGTGGGAGAGGCTGGAAGCAGAGGGATGTGAATGTAAAGGGGGAAGAGGGAATTAATCATTGGATTGTACAATTTGATGGGGGGGCCAAGGGAAATTGAAAGAATTTGTTCAAATTTGTATTAGAATTTTGTAAATAAATGTGAAAAAAATTAACAAAATGAAAAGAAAACTAAACTTATTTAATTAGCTTTTGGGGGTTCCCAGGGGAATGATAATTGAATCAAAGACATTTAGTCAAATTCTCAGTCACTCTAACTTGACATTACCAAACTGCTTTTCTTTTTAGAAACATAAAATTAAAATTATACTAAACCACTTTTTTTTTCTGAGGAAATCATTATCCTTGGTAGATGAAGGTTCATTCCTGAAACTGGAGAAGATTTGGGCTTAATTTCTCTCAAATTTCCAGAGAACCTGGCCCACAACAGTCAGTAGTTCAATTACCTGTGCCTTTATCTTCTGGACGTTCACTCATGAATCTGTGTGGCTCCTTCAGGGGTGAATTCATGAGGGCAGAGAGTTCCTCAGGGGGAAAAACAGATAATGTACTTGACTGCTAACCAAATTTTTGAAAGTGCAAATCTACCTAAGGTACCTTGGAAGAAAGGCCTGGCAACATACTTACAAAAAAATATCAGCCACTGAAAATTCTACTCCATCACAGTTCTATTCTGGTGTTTATGGAATCATCATTGAACCGGAATTGGCTAGATGGCAACTGATTAACTGTTTAATGTGAGATAGCTAAAGCCTGTTGAGGGAAGGTTTGTGGTGGGGTTAGACAGGCACCAGGAGCTCATCTGCCTCTCAAGAGCCTGGGAGTCAGAGGTTGCTAGGCTACACCTGCACATCACTGCCCCTCACCACCACTTCCATCTTAGAATAGGGTCACTTCCATAATGCAGTTTTATTCCCTAATGAGCAAAGCTGATCCTATCACTCCTCTCTCCCTTGTACCCATCACCCAACCCTTTAGAAGTCCTTTCTTAGTTTCAGTCTGTGTACTCTCTAAAAAGTATCTCTAGCCTGGTGTACAGAGCCCTTTCCGAGCTGTCTCTGTGCCCTCTCCAGTCTCATTTCTTCCCTTCATCACAGTGCACCCTGTAGTCTTCATTCCCCAACAGCCATACTCACACTTTTCTGTGGTCCATTTCCACTGTCCGGCACATGGATTCCTCCACTTCCTTCCTTGAAACTCAAAGCTTGCTTTCAGATCTAGACTCCTCTATCTCCTCCCTCAGAAAATCTCCCTCAACTTTCTAGGTAGGTGGTTGGTATTCCTGCCTGGGCAACCTGAGTCCCCTGTTTTTGCTACTCAGTCTGTGAGCTGGGTTCACCATGCATCGTGATAGTGTGTGCCTCTCTGTTCCTGACACTTGTCCCCACCCTGTGAGCTGGCCTTGTGTCATACTCATGTTGTGGTGTGCTTGAATGAAGAAGTGAATGAATGTGTTTCCCTGCCTTGGTGTTTGGGGGTTCACTAATTACTGGGGAAGTGTGAAGGAAGATGTATTTAACTTGTGGGAGGGACTCCATCCGAGCCCTGGAGCGAGGAAGATGAGTTCTGTGAGTCTGGGAGATGGATAATATGGCCTTTGTGATTCTTAGATGCTTCAGATCAGGCTCAGAGGGAAGGTGGATCTCTGAAACTGGCTGAGTTAATCCTAGGAAGCAAATGTCATGTGATGTCATCTCAGGAAGGTAATTAAGGCTCCCTCCTACTGTTGAAGAACCTGTGAGCACTGAGGATGGTCAGGATGTGGGCTTTGGTGGCAGGGCCCCAGCACACAGGACTGATTCCTGTCTGAACACTGGGGAACCATCAGGAGAAGCAACCACCGGCTGGGGCTGTGGGGGAGGAGCACCCCTGGCTCAGCAGCAGCAGGTTAGTGAGCCTTCAAGAGAATCAGGGGGGTGGAGGGCTGTGTTGGGTCGGTGCAGGCTCCATAGAGCAGAGGTGGAAATGAAGTGGTTTTAGAGGATGTGTGATATAGCAAAACTGTGGCCCCAGAGGGGTTTGCCATCGCCACTCAGTTGTCCTTGACTCATAAGGATCCATATACAAAGAAATTCAACCCTGCCCATCCTGTATCAGCCCCATGATTGGTCATCCAAGGGGTTTCCACTGGATGATTTTCAGGAGCAGACCACAGGCTTTCCTTCCAAAGGGACTTAGCACCATGAGCTGTATAAGCTAATCTTTGGGGTTATTCCTGAAGTCTTTGGTTTGAATCTAATGTCAAGTAGAGAGATCTCACTTGGCCTTGTGAAATTTACTTGCTTCTTTGGGCTTCATTACCTCCTGAGGAGAAGGAAGATAGCAATACCCTCTCCAAAAGTTAAAGAGGAAACAAGATAAAGAATATAAAATGCTTAGCCAAGTAGATATGTCTTGGGGAAGGTGCAGTCAGAGTGCTCCTTGGAGGCAAAGATGATAAAGCTTCTTCTTATGTACTTTGGGCATGGTGCTAGGAGAGGTTCCTCAGAGAGGGAAAACATGCTTGGAAAGGTGGAGGGATGGCAAAGGAGAGGAAGGAAGTCCCTCAGCCAGATGGATTGATACAATGATTGCAGCAATAGGTTTGAGTGTGTCAGAGGTTGTGAGGTTGGCACAGGATAGGACAGCATTCAGATCTGTTGTTCATAGGGTCACTCTGAGTTGTACTCAACTCAATGGCGTCTAACGACAACAAGTGCCCAGCTGGCTACATGGTGATAGGAGCAGTGGTAGCTGTGGTTTTCATCTGTTTGGAATCCTGGGTAGCCTAATGACTTGGCTGGGCCCCCCAAAAGCAGACATCTCCAAAGTACGTGGGGAGCCAGTGGTTGTGGGCATCATGAGCATATCTGAATGTAACAATGGGGAGCTGTGGGATTATCAGGAACATGCTTTTAACCTCTGCTGCTTGGGTATTCTTTCTGCTGACAGCCCAGTGCACAGATCTTAGGTCACTAACAGCTGGGGTGAGTGACACAAGATTTTAGGCCTCTGGGAGCAGCACTCTTTTTATAGATGCTAAAAAAGAGACCAGATAAGGCCACTCTGTAAGGTAGGGGTAAGAGCAGAGATGAGAGGCCCCCTGCTATAGGCACATTCTATTGTGAAAAAAAAAAACCATCACATGTGGCTAGGGCTGGAGTTTCCGGGTAGGAAAACGATTTTGATAGTCTGTGTTATCAAATGGTCTAGGATAGTGGGCAACTTTATTTTCCAAGGAATTTTAATGTATTTCCTTTGGAAAACAATTCTGAGAATCTTCAGTGTCCCCTCAATCTTAACTTCATATATCATGAGTGCAGAATGAAAAGGTCCTTCTCTAGTGCAAAAGGTTTGTGCTTAATTACTGACCTGAAGGCTGGCAATTTAAGGCCATCCCGTGCTGCTAAAGGGAGCTCTGGTGGTCTAGTGGTAAGGAGTTGTACTGTAGATCCAAAGGCATGTGGTTCAAATACACTGGTTGCTCCAAAGCAGAAAGAAAGAGAATCTCTTCTTGTGCTATTGACAGTCCCTGAAAACCCCTCTAGAGGGTCAGCTCTGAGTTGGTGCTGACTCAAAGACACCTGACAACAGTAGTGTTGAGGAAGAAAGGTCTGGTGATCTGATTTATAAAAATCCTATATAAAGTTCTGCTCTGTAACACGCATGATCTCTATGAGTAGGAATCCACCAATGACCACGGGCTTGTGGTGGTAAACTAAGAGTGAAGTTGGAAAGGAAGAGGACACAGCTTTTGTCCTTAGCAAGTCCCAGTCTGAACGAAGAGACAAAGCTCTGCCCTGAGATTTAGCGTGAAGGCTCTTCTTCTTCTTTTTTTTTTCAATCTTACAATCTTTTATTGACACTTAAAACTTTAGGTGCTCTGGCCTCCCAAAGTCCACCCTTTATGTTACAGGTGGTCTTTACAGGGTTTAGGAAAAGAGCCTGCACATTTGACTTGGATGCAATGTTTGAGCAGATTCAAAGAACAGCTGTTGAGAGAAGTTAGAAAACACTGGAAAGAAGAGAGAAAGAGGTCTGCCTTGGTCAGGCTGCAGAACAAACCCCTTGAGTATTATGGAGAGACTGAGTCTTAGGAAGTGGAAGTGACTCATCCAATGTCACATGGCTAGAGAGGAGTGGTCCCATCTGGTGCTTGACCCTCTGTTTTTCAATTTGTATTTTCTTGTTGAGAATATATACCGACTCAACAATTTCTCCATTTAAAAAAAAAAGATCAATAACTTTGAGACATTTTCAATAAATTAGACTGCAGACATGGAAGGAGCTTGAGACAAGATGTGAGAATGTGCGCAGGAAGGACAGGGCAGGGGATGTAGGGTCACTGCATATCCTGCTGGGGGTGGGCCCACACCTGGTGCTGCTCTCTTCTCCTCCCAGATTCTCTCAGGTACCCAACTGCTCCACCTCCACCACCGCAGAGATGCCCTCTGCCACCAGCATGGGCCTAAGCACCGTGACAGACACCCCAGTGGAGGAATCCCTCTTCCAAATCATCCACTGCTTCCACCATTATGCAGCACGGGAAGGGGACGTGGAGACTCTGTCCCTGGAGGAGCTGAGAGCCCTGCTCTTGGACAACGTGCCCCGCTTCATGGAGAGCTTGGTGCGTGGGGTCTGGGTGGCGGTGGGTGAAGAATGGGCTGGGGGTATGTATAAGGCTTGGGTTCTGAGCTGGAAGTGAGTGACGAAGGTCTTGGGCCCAAGAAAACCTCCATCATGAGTATTTCTATATCAGGCAAGAGGAGGGCAGGATTTGTGAGCAGAAGAAGGGATGGGCCCGATGGCTTTCTTTCTGTTCCTTCCCTGAACCTCCCTGCTTCTTCCTACTCCAGTCCAACTACCTCTAATCCCTGAAACTCAATCCTAATCCCAAACCAATTTATTTCTCTGTTCATCCTGTATTCTTAGTATAGACCCAAATTACCTTTTGCCCATAGGCCACTTGGTAAGGGACTCTGCTCCACAGCCCACACCAGTCTCATTGGGAACTTCTGCTGGCCTGGCCCACCTGCCCCCTGGACCTGGAGAAGAGGGCTGGTTTAGGCTGTAGTTGCCCCTCTAGAACAAGCTGGGAGTAAGAAAGGCAACATTCACCTCCCACTTCCTGTCTGAAGGGATCACAAAGTCCCTGAGACTAGCTCCAGGAACTCAGGTCTAGATTCTCCTTGAATCCTACTCTGTCTGCTAATTTAGCCTCATGGGTACCTGACTCATTGAGGGTTGAAGGACTCTTTTCTTTCCAGGGCGTAACTGCCTGTATCATGGGATTGTGCCAGGATCTGCCAGGCTTTGCTGCTCTCTGGAGCCTGCCCTCAGCCCTCTGTCCCATGTCTGGGGGATTCTCAGGGCAATGTCATCTCCAGAAGACTGTCAGTTCATCCTTCTGATCCCCAAGTCCTCACATTTCAGGAGAAGGCCTTTTCTTGGTGGTCACTTCCCATCTCTCCCTGCCTAATTTTGGGAAGTTGGTCAGAAGAAATAGTTCACTGGAGTGCCTCTCTGAAAGTCATGAAGAGAGGGTGGAATTTGATGGGAGGTTATTGAAGTTGGTATTCTGTTTATAGGGGAACCTCTTTCTTTCTAGAGCCAAACTTCTTGCATTGTAGGGTTGTAACAGGATCCCTCAAGTCCTGTCACTTGTGTGTCTCCTGTCCTACCAGGGTATAAGACTCTCGGATCCCAACACCTGGGTACCGGGCAGGCTGATGGGAAGGTGGGATGAGGTGAGGGCAGCTGGGAGAACCTGCCAAAGCAGGAAGCCTCCAGCTCTTTTTTGGTTAACTAGCTTTGCGGAGGAGGTAAGATTATAGGAAAAGCAGATGATGGGGAAAATGATATAAGGCTGCCCTCAGGGATGAGGGAAACACTCCTGCCCACCATTGCTCTCAGATACTGTTTCCTCTAGGCACTTTCGGACGCCTCTTCTCTCCCCTCCACACTCACCAGCCATGTCCAGCTGAACATGCTTCTCCTACCAGTGTTCAGTGTCCCAGTGCCCAAATAATCTCAGCCTGTGCCCCATCCTTCCTCACCATGTCTCTTCCACCATAAGTGTCTCCTAAGAGAGGCTGCTTCTTGGAGGCAAGGATTCTGAAGCTTTGTCTGATATACTTTCAGGACGTTGCAAGGAGGAACCAGTCCTTGGAGATGGACATCATGCTTGGGAGGGTGGAGGGACAGCACAGCAGAGGAAGACCCTCGATGAGATGGATTGAGTCAGTGACTGGGGTAATGGGGGTAGGTGTGTCAGAGACAATAAGATTGGCTTAAGATAGAGCAGGGTTTAGGGCTGTTGTGCAGAGTCACTATGAATCACAGGTGACTTGACAGCACATAAGAACAACAACAACAACGAAAGCTCCTGTACCTGCCCTGTTCCAGGGCCAACACACGGCCACCTCCTCCCTCCTCTGGGACACCCAGCACAGCTTGTAGGTTTGTGGTTTGTCCTTTCCCTTGTCCTGAGTCTCCCTAGGTGGAATGGCAGAGTGTGCAAGCCGTTCCTAACCTCTGGCTGACCTTGTGCTTATAACAGTACATCCCTTGGTGCTGACACTGCTTGGTGTTAGGGGAGCAGGGATGAATGGGTTAACTTTGGTCTTGGGAAGCAGCTGACAGGAAAGGGTCTCATCCCGTGTCTCTAGGAAGCACTTGATCTTGCAGTTAAGCCAGGCAGACAGGCTCAGCTACCAGTGGTGGACGTGATGCAGGTCTGGGAGGCTGCCCAGCTCAGGAACTGTTAGCCGTGCCCAGTTTGTACCCCCTGTCTGCACTCATGCAACTCTGGGTTTGTGTAACTGGAGCACCTACCACATCTCTGTCTCTTTGCCTAATTTTCAGTCTGTCACGTCATCGCCATGATGATTTGAGTATGACATTCCTTCCTGTAAGTCCTTGTGGGCAGGGCTGTGCTATGACTATCCTGTCCTCCGCAATCCCAGTAGGGATTAAAGGGGACCCAGGTAAGTGGGTGGCACTGACCTCTGCCCCAATCCTCAGGGTCGGAGGGATCCGTACTACATCGCAGCCTTGTTCCGGGCGGCAGACAAGAACAAGGACAACCAGATCTGCTTTGAGGAGTTCCTCTACATCCTGGGCAAGCTGGTGAAGGACTATCACCTGCGGTACCACCAGCAGCTCTGTGCCTACTACTGTGCCCAGCATGGCCTTTATTAGAGGGGCTGCAAGCTGGGTGTCTGTGCGTGTGCACAGGCACATATATCATTGTGAGGTGGCTCAGCTGTATGGGAGTGGAATAAAGCACTTTCATAAACTCTAATGGCTTTTCATCAATTCATGGTTTTGGGCATCTTCTGGAGTCCAGGAGTGAGTTTGGTTCATTCTCTGGAGAACATCCGTTCTGGAGGGGAGACCCTCTGAGAAGCCCTGTCCTGGGGTGGGGGAGACAGTCATGTTCTCAGCTTTTTGTCTGAAAGAGAGAGGGATTTCTTTTCTTAGGGAAGTGACACTTTGTTAAGGTATCCGGGCCACACGAATGATGCATGCATTCAATGCGCCAGTCATTCATTCCACATCCTGATTAGATAGATGGGAGTTCCTAGTGGAGTGGAGAACTGAACATGGCCAAGTGTTTAAGGGCCTCCCTGCAGGAAGTGAGATCAATCAGGATGGACAAAAATGAGCAGCCAGGGCCTGGGAAAGGAGAAGGTGGAATAAGAATTTGTTAAACTGAAGGAACAGCAGTATAAGGTATATAGTGCACACATCCTAGCACATGGCGGGGGGGAAAGTCCTTGGAGAGGGACACTGTGACCTAGGAGGAGATGAAGTGACTCAGTGACTAGAGAAACAGTATTAGGTCTGTTGGAGATGATGAGATTGGCTCAGGATAGAGCCATGTACATAGGGTCACTGTAAGTTGCAGGTGACTTGATGGCAAATAATAACAACAACAGGATAATAAACAGCTAGATTGGAAGTTGTGTCCATGGAGATAGTATGAAATACACTTGGAAGGGTGAAGTAGGACCTGGCTCTGGGAAGGCTTAGGATGTTGAGTATTGGGATTTGGGCTTTATTTTTTGTTGGATCTCCAATGCTCACTTAAGTGGCAGAAAAGAGGTCACACAAGCAGAGCAGAGCTTTCAGAACAAGGCTGGGGCATGAAGGAGAGATGAGGCAGAGCAGGGCCTGGAGACCTGGAGAGCTGTCAGTGAGCCGCTTGAAACAGCGTGGGTGGGAGGTGAAGAGACTGATCTGGCTAAGTGGCTGCAGAGGTGAAGGAGGGAGCGAACACAAGAGACCCCAGACCTCATCAGCTTCAGGAGGAGGCTGGGGAGGGATCATGGCCAGAACCAGGTGGAGGTTTTGGACCTCAATGACGCAGGCAAGATGACTCCTGTAAACTGACACATGGGTCACAGATGATGTCAGGGCGGGAGCTAGTCTGTAAGGAAGATGATGATTGGTTTTGTGTGTGCTGAGCCTGTTAAAAGCTGACAATCCAGCTCTGCAGAACAGTAGATATTTGCTGTGGGGAAAAGGGCATGGTTCTGGTAAATGGGACCTGGGAAGGAAAGTCAAAGAAGACTTCCTGGAGGAGACAAGGGTGAGGTAGTTTGTTTTGTTTTTTTAAAACAAGTGCTGATGGGTGTAAGTATTCCTCCTAACTCAATATATGACTCACTAATCCAAGTGCATCCTGAGAGTTGTCCCTGCCCCATCTCTGCATTGATCCTTGCTCTCTCTGGGGGTCCAGATAGCCGATGAATAATTTCTCTGGGAAAGTCTCCTCTGCCTTTAGGAGCCATTGGAGTCCCCGAGTGGTATGAATAGTGAATGTGTTAGACTGCTTACCGAAAGTTCAGAGGTTCAAGTCTACACAGAGTTGCCTCAGAAAAAGGTGATCAGGTTTTTGGTTGGGACCCATCTTGATGGGCCTTCTTTTGTGAGAATGGGCCTAGGAACCAGCATCTTGAGCTTATTGTGACAGATTTCAAAGAAGGACAAGTGATCATCTGTTCAGATGACTGAGATGGCCATTTAAAGGGCTTGATTGGGTTCCCTCGCCAAACTAGCTCTGTGTGCTAAACCAGATGAGTAACATCCTGGAGGCTGAGCCCAGAAGATACTAGTTTCTCACCAATCTTGTCCTGAAGCAGCCCAGGACACTGCTCTGTGAGTCTGGACTGCCACCTGCTGTCACTTCGACATCTGGCACTCCACCCTTTGAGATCAGCTGGTCTAGTGGCAAGAAGCGGCACTGCAATCCCAAAGGCACACAGTTCGAGGCCACCAGCTGCTCTGCAGGAGAAGGATGGACAATCTCCTATGGGATTAACTACCTCTGAAAACCCACTGGAGGGTCAGCTACGGGTCAGTTTCCGACTTGATGGTACACAACAACAACCACATTACCTCCTCTAGGCAGATGTCCACACCCATTTCCTCCTGGACCTTCCTAGGAGCTCCTGCAGACTCTGAACTTCACCTACTGTGGTCCATGGCCTATTGCACTGCAGTTGAGTTTTTATGCTTCTCTGCCTCTGGTGGCTTAGTGGTAAGGAATTGTGCTGCCTGTGCTACAGGCATGTGGTTCAAATCCACCAGCCGCCACGCCAGGGGGTAAGTTAGGCAGTCTCCAACTGTGTGATTTATTGCTTCTGAAAACCTGCTGAAGGGTCAGTTGTGGGTCAATTCTGACTCAGTGGTCCATAACTACAATAACTGTACCCCACCAAGGGGCAAGTAAATACTAGACTGAAACTGAAGGTTTGGCTGTTTAACTCCACTTAGAGATGTTTTAGAAGGCCTGTTGGTCTACATCCAAAAGAATTCCAAAGGAGTCAGAGTAGAGTCTACCAGGATTGTTTTGTTTTGTTTGATCCTCCATCCAGCCAGGGACCCTGTCTTGTTCATCTCTGCATCCTGCACCTGGCCCAGTGGCTGGCTCTCAATCTGAGCTCAACAAGTTTTCATAGAGGAAGGCATGCAGGATTGGGAGCTTGGAATCCTATGACCTGGCTCTGTGCTTCCTCCATGGGCCTACAGGTCCTGTCTAGAGATGAGAAGATGTTAATGGGGCCTCTTCCTTGAGGCTTCAGGGAACTTGATTGATCTGAAGATTTCTTCCTCCTGTCTCATCTGAAAAGTAGTCTGCTCTGCTATGTGAGGGCTGGGTAGCCTTCCTCTTGTACCAACTAGAGGTTTCTCCACCAACTTTACCTACTCTGTTGCCATTTCCTCAGGGATGGGCTTGATCAGGCCTATTGGGACATACAACCCAGAATTGAGAGCTGTTTCCTGTAAACATGACCAGGTTCCAGTTCCCCCATGTTGCCCCATGTCTGTCAGTCTGATTACAGTCTCTGCTTTCTCCTCATACTCTGCTTACACAATTTCGGACATTCATTTTTCTCATAGGTCAGCTCAGCCTGGCTCTTGCTGTCCTTGAAACCCCTTAAGGTTATCTGTCTAGAAGGAAAGTTGTAGAAGAGACATTTCACAGTTTCTCTAGTCTTCCTGCCTCACGAGCATAGGATTCTGGGAGGAAGTCCTCACTCACGCCTGCCTAGGTCTCCCTCACTGAATAGATTTATTTCTTTACTTTGTAGAGAAAGAAAGCTGTGTCAATAGGATAGTTTTCAGTGAAATGGGCTCAAGAGTGTCTCTCTAAGACTCATGGGTCTGTCAAGACATCTCAATATTATCAGCATCTCATTGAGAGAAATCAGTTAGTATGAGCTTGATTTCAGTACGGTGAGAAAGCCCAAGGAGAATCTCAGGAAAGCCGTCCTGCTCATTCTAATTAAACTTTTGGCACTTTAACCATCAAGACAAAGCAGGACATAATGTACTCTCAGTTTCCTCATCTATCAAAGAGAGACTAATTGTATCTAAAATGTCCACAAGATTTCCAGGAGTATCAAATGAGTTAGTGGTTATCAAGCATACTTTGAAACTAGCATGTACTATTTGGGAGTAAAATGCATATAGGTAATGCCTGGTAAGCACCTGATCTGAAAACTTGTCATGTAATATCTTAGAACAAATTCTATTCTCCTTCACGGGAAATGGTCAAGTAAAAGTTGATTAACCTCTTGCCAAGAATCATGGGTGGAATTATGTCCTCAAAAAATACATAGACGTAAAAAAAAAATCCCACCAAACTCTAACAACAACATAGATGTAATAATATAATAACAATGCAATGCAAGCTATGAAGTGATTTCCCCCTGATATGATGAACCAAATAGTTGCAAGAGGATTCAGGGTGGGATGTCTCAACCTGATAAAATATAAGGAGTGGGCTCGGAGACGTGGTCCATAACATCTCTCATCATAGAAATAGAAGGAAAGTAAAGCCAGCTAAAGAAAGAGGGAATGCTCACTACAACCAAGAAGAATTGCCATGAGTGGAGTACTTTCTTTTGAACTTGAGAATCTCTGTGCAAAGAAGCTCTTTGACATCAAGGAATGACAGGACACATGGAGATCTCCAAGAAATACTTGGTTTGTGGAAGCTGAAGGAAAAAAAGACTTTAATTCACAACTGATAGAGAGAGCAGCCCTTCCCTTAGAGATGGTACTGAGAATTTGGACATGTAGCCTCCTAAGAGAAAGAAAAAACATTTTTGTTTGTTAAAGTCAACCACTCTGTTACAACAGCACTATATAACCAAGATACCAAGGATGTCAGACTGTCTTCGGTTTATTAATTTTTTAGTGTACTATTATTATTCCAAAATTATTTGAGATGACTTGAATCAGTAAAGGTATACACATAGTGTTTACTTAACCACTAGATTAAATGACAGCTGATGGACTTGTGGTGAAGTATTGTACTGCCAACTCATAAGCCCATGGTTCAAATCCATTTGCTTCCCCATGGGAAAAAGATAGACAATCTCCTCCCATGTGATTTACTGCTTCTGGAAACCAACAGCTATAAGTTGGTTCTACCTTGATGGTACACAAAACAAAAATACAACAAGCCTAAGAATTCAAGTTGGATTCAGAAGAGAATGTAGAGCAAAGTATATCATTGCTGGTGTCAGATGAATCTTACCTGAAAAGAGAGAATGCCAGGATGATTACTTGTGATTTGTTGACGATGCAAAGATATTTGATGGTGTGGATTGTAACAAATTATAATGGGTTCTAGCATGACAGAGGTTGTGAGGAAGGCACAGTATAGGACAATAGCATTAGGGTCA